CCAAAAGCTGGCCGCGGGGGCACCGAGGCCGCCGAGTCCGGAAGACAATAACAACCGCAGTAATAGTGCGGACCACCCCCCCCCCCCGCCTCGCTAGCCCGGACCCAGCGCTTCCTCGTCAGACGCTTACAGTGCACAACATTGAATCAAAACAGCCTCCTGGGAGGGGCTGTTAACTTCTTTTAGAAGTGAGGGATCAGGGCCAGAGAGGTGGAGTGACTCACTCAAGGTCACACAGCTAGTAAGTGGCCGGTGGGGATGAGGGACCCATGCCTTGAGTCCAGAAACTAGTCCCAGAAGTCGTCCCTGACCAGCCAGCCACCGGACTCACTGCACACGGCCGCCCCCATATTCCCTTCGGAGCCGCACCTGCTGGGTTTTGCTTCCCCGAGCCCACGGGTCACTAAACAGCTTCCAAGTTGCCCTCGTGTCCCTTCTCTTGAGCTGGCCAGGCAAGGCCTGACGTGGGCCCTTTAATCCCATTCCCCCTCCACCCACCCTGTCTACTTACTGCGAAGAGAAATGAGCGAGAGTGAGTGTAGAGGCCGGGGCGGGGGAGCGGGGCAAGAGGTGCGTCCACTCGCCCCGGAAACACTGGAGAGATGAAACCTTTAGGATCCGGTTTTTCAAGAATGAATCAGAGGCCTCCTCCCCTCCTCCCCAAAGTAGTACTGTGCTGGGGGTTAGGAGCGAGGGACGACAGGTGTGGTGTCCCCTAAACTGGGAGTTATCTGAGCCCCAGGAGTCCCCCTCCCTGCTTCCTGCACCTCCCACTTAGCGTTTCTGTGACTGCAGGGTTGCTAAGTTTCTGGCCCTTCTTGGGATGAGAGCGCTGAACTCCGGAAATCCATCCAACCCACTTCCCTTCAGCTCCTTGCAGACAGCGGGGAGGAGCTCGTAGCTCTCTAGCAGTCATGTTGGTGGGGTTTGGTTCACAAGCAGGGTTATAGGACATTCACTCTACAGTTCACCTGCAAGTGCTAAGCAGCCACTGTGCCAGGCACCATGTTTTGCTTGGAGGGAAGTGTCCTCCAAATGCAGGACAGAATTCCCTGCATTCTAGTGGGGAACAGGCAACAAGTTAACATGGGCAGCCACTGCAGATCCTTCTAAGTGCTGAGTGACCTCTCAGAGATCACTGGGCAGGGGGAGATCACACACACACACACCCCAAGGCAGAGTGAAGTATAGAATAGCTGGAACAGGGAATGAAGCTATAGATGTGATTGAGTACCTGGTACAGAAAACACATTTTTTTATTGTCGAGTTTTCCCCTATACGGTGAGATTCCTTTGTGAGATAGGAGATGGTTTGCATTTTAAAATAGAGACACAGGCTGGAAAGACAGCTCACAGACTGCATGCTGGGAGTTCCATTCCCAGCCCCCACATGGTGGGTCACAACCATCTCTAACTAGTTCCTTTTGACCTCTTCAGGCACCCAAGTGATGCACAGGCAGACATGAAGCAAAGCTCTCATACACATAAAATTAAAATAAAATAAATTTTAAAAATGAAGATGCAAGATAAATAGCAGCCGGGACATTGAGAGACAAGCTCTGTCAGGGTAGCACACAGCAAGTTCATAGACCCTAGTACTGTGGTGCAGCTCCTGTGTGCGGGCTGGGCAAGCCAGCTGCCTGGAGAAGTCTGGAATAGGCCTTGCCAGCATAGGAACTGGGATGCTTCTAGGCCAGGGAAGGAAGGATGTGACCAGAATAAAGACTGAAGAAGTTTGGAGGTGCAGGTCAGCAGTACAGCCCCTGCCCCGAACCTGTGGGGGAGGTGTGGGTCGGCAGCAGAGTGCCTTCCAAGCAATGAAAGATTCTAGTTTCTGTCTCCATCACTGCAAATAATAACACGTCCAACACTTTCTGATGAGATTCCGTAAGTACCCAACAGACATAAACTCTGCCAGATTCTCAGGAGATAAAACTGCGGCCTCATGAAGCTAAGCAACTTGGCTTTGTCTGTGCCACTGGTGAGTAGCAAGGGTGGAACTTGAATCCAGGCCATCATCCAGGCCATGTGTCTCAGGGTCTGCATCATTGGTTTATTAGTCACTCATTTTCCTCAGTGCCTTGGGTCTCTCACCAGAGGGCACACAAAAGCTGGACTAAACCACAGCAGTGAATATGTACAGAGACAGAAAGGAGGCTGGGGAACAGGGTATGCGGTGCAGGACAGTGAGGAAAGACAGTGTATCAGCACACACCCCAATAGTATTGCGGGGACTGTCCCAGGCACACACATGCACTCACACACCCCCAATAGTGTTCCAGGAGCAATCCAGGCATATACATGGTTTCCTTTTTGATCAGACGAGTTAAGATATTTGGCCTAAACTGGGCAGTGGTGGCACACGCCTTTGATCCCAGCATTCAGGCAGATCTCTGAGTTTGAGGCCAGCCTGGACTACAGAGTAAGTTCCAGGACAGCCAGGGACTACAGAGTAAACTTAAAACAAATATAGAACAAGGAATGGTGATCAAAAGAGTGTGTACCAAGGAGGTGCTATTGCTCCTGTTCTCTATTGAGTGTGGTGGCATACAATTCCATGTAATTCATTTCAGTTTACTTCTGTGAAATAGCCAGTGAGTGTCTGTAGTATACTGGGATACAGAGCTATGGACAGACAGATGAAAGAACCAGTAAAAGACAAGTGCCCAGAATATATAAAGAGTTCTCACAAATCAATAAGAAAAAGACCATCCAAGTAAGGCTGAATCAGCCAGGTGTAAAGAGGCCTGTTATCCCAGGACATGGGAGGTAGAGGCAGGAGGATCTTGAGTGTGAGGCTTATTCTGTATTGTGCAGGGAGACAGACCCTCCTTGAAAAAGCAGAGCAAAAGAAAACAATGCAGGGCCATGTAGACCATGGAGATGGCGCACTTGGTAAAGTGCTTGCTGTGCCAGCTGAGTTTGACTGTCAGAACCCATGTGAAAATGCTAGGCATGGTGGCTTGCAGCTGTCACCCCAGCACTGGGGACATAAACAGGAAGGCCTATGGGGCCGGCTAGCCTAACTGGAGAGCTCATGCAAAGTGGGGCTGGGGGTATGGGATATAACTTAGTGGTAGAGCCCTTGCCCAGCATATTTGAGGCCCTGAGTTCAATTCCCAGCACAAAAGGGGTGGCACACTGGAGAGATGGCTCAGTGGAGTAAAGACTGCCACCAAGCCTGTAACCTGAGTTTGATTCCTGGTACCTGAATGGTAGAAGGAATGAACTGACCCCCACAACCTCTGTATGCAAATTGTGGCAACACACATGCACACAAATAAATAAATGTGGTCCCCCTCCCCTTTCAGACAGGGTCTCATTTTGCAGTTCTGGTTGTCCTAGAACTTGCTATGTTGGCTAGCCTAACCTCAAAGTAATTTTTTTTAATTTTTATTTTATGTGTTTGGGTATTTCGTCTGCTTGCATGCCTGAGCTCACAGGGCAGAAGAGGGTGTCAGATCCTCCCTGGGACTGGAGTTGGAGGCAATTTTTAGCTGCCATATGGGTTCTGGAATTCGAACCCAGGTTTTTTTTGGAAGAGTAGGCAGTGCTATAACCATTGAGCCACCTTTCCAGCCCCAGTAATTTTTTTTTTTTAAAGCAAAGTGATGACACTTGAGGACCAATACCCAAGGTTGACCTCTAACCTCCACATGCACCCACACATCCATGGGTATGAATGAGCACACGCACAAGGAGCACAGAAAGGGCAGAAGACACGGCTGTGCTTGCTGCTCTAGAGGACCTGAGTTTGGTTCCTAGCACCCATATTGGGCCTTCTGGCCTCTGCAGGCACCTATGCTCAGGTACACACACACACAAGCAGACTCATACCTATACATTTAATACAAAATACAATCTTTTAGAAGGTGGGATGGCTCAGTGGGTAAAGGCACTAACCTCCAAACCTGAAGATCTGGGTTTGACTTCCAGGACCCACATGGTGGAGGAAAAGAAGTAACTCAGGCAGGCTTTTGACTGACAAGTACTCTGAGGCATGCATATAGACACACACAGTAAGTAAATGTAAACAAAATAGTTAGGTTAAAAACAAACCAGGCTGTCCACTAAAAAGCCAATCAGGAGCATTAAAAAAAGAGGTGTTTGGCACCATTGATTTTTTTTTTTTCCCAAGTGCAAAAGCAAGCCTCTAGCAAGAAGTCAAGTGTTGTCTCCCTGCCCTGGCACTGCAGGGAACAGGGTGAGGGCCATGGGGTGGGGCTTGTGCTCTCCTGGGGAGCTGGCCAGGCCTGCCTTTCCTCCAGCAGCCACACGGGGCACTCACTTGTCCAGCATGGTTTATCTGTGGCGGCTCTGTGCCACCACTGTTGCACATACTGAGGGGTGGCCAGTAGTAATACACAGATCTCCCTCAGCAGACAGGGCACAAGATGTGAAATGCCCATCCCCGCTGAAGGAGGTAAGGGAGGGCACTGAACAGCAAAGAGAGCAGCCCCGCCCATCCTGACTATGTGAGCTGCAAGGAGCTGTGGCGCCTGATGTGGGGCACAAAGGACAGTGGGATCCCTGGGATAGTAGAGCAGAGAAGGAAGTAACATGACTATTTATAGGGTCCTCTGACTGCCTCTTGACAGGAAAGGAGGGTAAAGGACACCACAAGGCCCAGAGGCAACTGTAGTGCAGTGAGTGCGGTGGGTCAGAAGAGGGGTGCAGGGAGCCCTCTCAGGAAGATGTGGTCCTGCCCCTGGGTTCCCTGGTGCCTGCATTGGCCCCTCAGGAGAGAGAATCTGCAGAGCGTAGGATTTGCCTGGGGTGTGGGGAGCTGAAGAAGGGGCTCAGGAGTTGAAGGTAAGCCTGTGCCACTTGGTGTGACCCTGCTGGGTATGCTGATGTAGTCCTGTGTTCCCAGCACTCAGGAAGCTGAGGCAGGAAGATGACAAGTGCAAGGTCAACTTGGCTACTTGAGCCCAGTGAGGGGGTGAAATGCCAATGTGGACAGTTGTCCACTGTGGACAGTTGTCAAGGCCAAGGAGCTTCCTCAAGGGTTACAAATCACACGCCCTTGAGCAGGCTTGTGCTCTCCCCTCCCCCACATGTGACTTTTTTTTAATTTATTATGTATACAGTCTTCTGCATGCCAGCAGAGGGTACCAGATCTTATTCAAGGTGGTTGTGAGCCACCATGTGGTTGCTGGGAATTGAACTCAGGACCTCTGGAAGAGCAGTCAGTGCTCTTAACTGCTGGGCCATCTCTCCAGCCCCCCCACATGTGACTTGAAAATGAAGTCAAGGTCTGGGTCAGTGATTGTTTACCTAGTGTGCAGAGGACTGGTTCCATCCCTCACTACGAAGAATGGCCCTCCCTCCCTCCTTCCTTTCAGCCACACTGGTCAAAGATGTGCTGAATGTGAACTACTTTACCTCAGGGCCTTCGCACTGTTCCCAGTCTACTTGGAACATTTTTTTTCTTTTTTTGGGGGGGGCAGAGTTTGAGACAGGGTTTCTCGAAAAACCAAAAAAAAGGGGGGGGAGTACTATCCCTTCACCATCTATTTAAGTGGGTGTGGCTAGAGCAGGATGCAAGCATTAAGGAGCTCTATGGAATGAGAAGAGAATGAGGTATCCCCTGCTGCAATTACTACTATGCAGGTGAAGCCTCAACCTGAGGCTGGCTTGAGACCTGGGCCTTTATCAGCATGTGATCCGCCACTGAGCTGCACCCCAGCATCTGGGTTGTACATAGGGTCAGCCTTTTATCTTCCCATCTGTTCTGGATGCCCAGATCAAATCCGCTGTAGATGGAACACACTCAGGCAAGGCACATGTGCTGCTATATGCCTGTAATCCCAGCTACCCGGGAGGCTGAGGCAGGAAGACTGCTGGTTCAAGGATAGCCTGAGCCACTAAGATAAATGTCTCAAAATAAAAAGTACGAAGTAGTCTAGGCATGCAGCTTGGGTACACATGTACAAGTCTAACCCCAGGAGGGAGGATTGGTTCATTCTGGGAGAGCCCTGCACCTGTGCTGAACATAGACAGTTTCTGTTATTACCCCTTAAACAATACAGTGAGACTTAAGTTTTTGTAGATTTAAGTCTGTAGAGCTGATCCCGGTGTGTGGGAGGGGCTGCTGCTCTGTGGCCCGGCACTAGTCAAGTATGGGGAAAAGACAGTAAAGCCCTCAACAGAGTGCAAATGCAACACAACTTTATCCAGGGTGGCAGTATCTGGAGGTGTCCTGTCATCAGGACTGGGATGAGGGTCAGTGGTGGAGCACTGCCCCAGCTTGCACCAGGCCCCTGGGTATGAGGATGGTGTTGGTTGGTGATGGGCACCCAAGGCTTACTCAGAGCTTGAAACCCAATTCCTTTTCTGCAGGTCTCCTGGCCGAGTCCCATTTCTGGCTGCTCATGCCACTGGGACTGGGGCGGCGGAAAAAGGCACCACCTCTGGTGGAAAATGAAGAGGCGGAGCCAGGCCGCAGTGGCCTGGGAGTGGGGGAGCCTGGGCCCCTGGGTGGAAGCGGAGCAGGGGAATCCCAGATGGGCTTGCCCCCACCTCCCGCTGCCCTCCGGCCTCGCCTCGTATTCCACACCCAGCTGGCCCACGGTAGCCCCACAGGCCGCATCGAGGGCTTCACCAATGTCAAGGAGCTGTATGGCAAGATCGCTGAGGCCTTCCAACTGCCAGCTGCTGAGGTACCAGTGGGGCCAGGGTCTCCTGAGAGCAAGCCATAAGCCTAGGCATGCATTCTTGTGAGCTGGGGCTCAGGTGCTTGTGCACCCACTGGCCAGCAACCCCTGAATCTAGGAGGTATGGCTGCAGCAGGATACTGAGTTCCTGTCGGGCCTTGAGAGACTTTTACCCCAGTAGGTATATGGGGATGGCTTTCCCATCAGACCTTGAGAGGCTCGTAACCTAGTAGGTTGTGGGGCTGTGAGTGCTGGTTATCCCATCAGGTCTGGAGTAGCCTATGGCCTGGTAGATTGTAGCTGGGTTTCTATGAGGCTTTAGGACACCTATGCCCCAGAGCACTGTGGGAACTGGAGGTCAGGAGCAGCTATTGTTTCCCCATGGTGCACTAGAGGCATGACCCCAAGGTGGAAGCAGAGAAGCCACAGGGAGGGAAACAGTGGGGCTGAGCATCAAGTGGAGATTGGTGGGAAGGGTGGGTAGGAATCTAGACTCCTTTATTCACTCCAGCATTTGAGTGTTCACTGTAAATCAAGCTAGCAATGAGTTCTTACCAGAACAGAAATCCTACTCATAGCATTTGATGTACTAGTGGATCTTGCCCTGGCTCTGGGTGCCACCAATCCCTGGGATAGGTATCTTTTCTGAAGTCCCCTCCTCTCCCAAGTGTTAGGAAAGGTGACCCAGGGAGGAGGGCACAAGCATCTTGCCCACCTCTGCAGGTGATGTTCTGCACCCTCAACACCCATAAAGTGGATATGGACAAGCTCCTGGGTGGCCAGATCGGGCTGGAGGACTTCATCTTTGCTCATGTCAAGGGGCAGCGCAAAGAGGTGGAAGTATTCAAGTCTGAGGAGGCACTGGGACTAACCATCACTGACAACGGAGCCGGCTATGCGTTCATTAAGGTGCCCGGGTGGGTGGCACACCCTTGGTCAGTGGTCAGGGTCTGAAAGTGACCTAGAGTAGAGCTCCCAGGGCTGATGCCTGCCCCTCCACAGCGCATCAAGGATGGCAGTGTGATTGATCACATCCAGCTCATCAGCGTGGGTGACATGATTGAAGCCATCAACGGGCAGAGCCTGCTGGGCTGTCGGCACTACGAAGTTGCCAGGCTCCTCAAGGAGCTGCCCCGAGGCCGTACCTTCACCCTCAAACTCACAGAGCCTCGGAAAGCCTTTGGTGAGCAATCTTTGGACCACCCACTAGGATGACCTTGAATCCTTGAAAAATATGGTCTGCGGTTCTGGGAACCACCAGCAGGTGGCACCCAAGTCTGCAACCAAAGTGAAGCCGGCCCCACCCTAGCACCCTGGGTGCTGGCTGGTAGCCCAGCCTGAAGGAAGTATCCCCCACACCCAACTTCCAGAAGCCATTAGCTCAGCCAAGTGCCCCCAACCCTGGCCAGCCCCCTCAGCCTGGAGAAGTAAGGCTTGGCTGACCTGTATAACTCCCGGGCCCTGCCCCCTTTTCTACCTGGCTTCACTAACTCTCAGGAATGGGCCTGAGGCACCCCTGGTATGGGTAGGTAGGACTGATCTGAGATCCAGCAGTTATGCCCACCCATGGTCATGGGAAAGTGTCCAAGGACTCATTTTCGACCCCCAGCTCTCACCCCTTTTAGTAGAAGTAGTAGAAGTGTCCCTCAATTGTGTTCTCTAGCTTCTTTTATGTCTAACTCCCCCACCCCCCACCCCGCCCTGCCCCTCTCCATTCCTGCAAAGTCCTGTCCTCCTGGAATCCAGCCCCTATCCCAAGGAGCCTGCAGAACTTGGAGATGGTGAGAGGTGGCCTAGCTGCCTGAGTGCTATACTGACTGTATGCTGAAATTCCCATAGATATGATCAGCCAGCGTTCAGCGGGTGGCCACCCTGGCTCGGGCCCACAACTGGGCACTGGCCGAGGGACCCTCAGGCTCCGATCCCGGGGCCCTGCCACAGTGGAGGATCTGGTGAGTGAGCCACCTTGGGCCAGTGACGGCATTCTCATTACCTGAGGGACTCTGGACACCTCTGCTTAAATCTACCTCCTCCCAGCTTTGGGACCTTCCTTGGGCAAGTGAGACTTGGTTTTCCTACCTGTAAAGTAGGAGTCCTAGTAACTTCTTGTCAGAGGGGACCTTGATACAGACAGAAACCACAGCCAGGCATGTAATCTCAGGCAGGAGGATTTCACATTCAAGAATAACTCAAACCACAAGAGCTTGGCACCAAAAAGAAAATGCATGAAAGCCAGCCCAGTGTGGGCATGCACTTGTAATCCTAGATACCTGGGAAGCTGAGGTAGGAGGGTTTAGTGTTCAAAGCTAGCTTGGGCAACTTAGAATGTATCTCAAAATTAGAATAATAATATCTGAATATTGGGGCTGGAAAGATGGCTTAGCAGTTTAGAGCACTTGGTGCTCTTGCAGATGACCCAGGTTCAGTTCCTAGCACCCATATTGGGTGGCTAACACATTAACTCCAGCTCCAGGGCATCCAGTGTCCTCTTCTGACCTTCACAGGCTCACACATAGTACACATACATACATGCAGGCAAAACACTCCTACACATAAGCAAATAAATGTTAAAAAAAAAAAAATAGCTGGGGTGCTGAAGAGATGGCTCAGTGGTTAAGAGCACTAGCTGTTCTTCCAGAGGTCCTGAGTTCAATTCCCAGCAACCACATGGTGGCTCACAACCATCTGTAATGAGGTCTGCTGCCCTCTTCTGGCCTGCAAGCATATATGTAGGGAGAACACTGTATACATAATAAACAAACAAAATCTTAAAAAAAAGAAAGAAACAATAGCTGGGGGTGCAGCTCATTGGTGGAGCTGTTGCCTGGCATGTGTGAGGCCCTGGAGCTGTCCCCAGCACTGAAGGCATTCACTGTGTATAACAGCAGTTCTGTTGACACTACTGTGCTGTCTTGTCCCTCCTCCACAGCCATCGGCCTTTGAGGAAAAGGCCATTGAGAAGGTGGATGACTTGCTAGAAAGCTACATGGGGATCAGAGACACAGAACTGGGTGAGTGGGGGCACCCATGCCTGGAAGGTGGGAGCAGGTTTCCAGTCCTCACCCAGGCTGACTTGAACCTACACCCTTCCATCCCTCATGCCGTCTCCATCTTTCTCCTCCCTGACAGCTGCCACCATGGTGGAGCTGGGAAAAGACAAAAGGAATCCAGATGAACTGGCAGAGGCTCTGGATGAACGACTTGGGGACTTTGCATTCCCAGATGAATTCGTCTTTGATGTCTGGGGAGCCATTGGGGATGCCAAGGTCGGCCGATACTAAGACTGGAACTAAATGTGGACCTTGAGATTACCTGGGCTTGGCCTGGCTGGGGCCTCCAGAAGGGCTGCCACAGACAAGACCCGAGCATCCTGCTTAGGCATGTCACTCAACGGCCTGGGGATGGCATGGGATGGAAGTGGCCTATGGTCCTGGCCCCACTCCGATCACCATGGTGCCCAGCCTGGTTGGGATCCCCGGCCAACCCCTGCCGGGTCCCCACCTACCTCAGTAGAGTAAGCGCATGGGGATGGGCCAGCACACTGGGCAGCCACCTCTGTCCCCAACACTTTCCACCATCGGCTGGCAAATTGCCCCTTCTGTCTCCCTGGGCCTTGGTTCTGTTTGGGGTCATGACTTTCCTATCTTACTTTTTTGCTTTGTTTTTTCAAGACAGACTCACCATGTAGCGCTGGTTGTCCTGGAACTCTGTAGATCAGGCTGACCTTGAACTCACAGAAATCTGCCTGCATCTGCCTTCCCAGTAAAGGTGTGCTTCACCACTCCTGACTCTCCCGACTTTCTTGCCACCAGAAATGCAGGAAGGGCGCACAACCTCCCTAGTAAAGGCAGTAACACCATCCCCTCATGCATCTCCGGCCTGAGAGGAGCCCTTTACATTGCATTCTGTTACCTCACATTTGAGTGGACACTGTGGTGAGCCCTGGTTCCTCATCATCTCCCTTAGAAAATGCAAGAGGGAGGAATGAGCAAGGCAGTGAGTGGGCTTCTGTACCCTTACCCTCTTGGATGTGGAGACTGTTCTCTGGGAGTTGTTTGGCTTTGGGGAAGGAGGGATGGCTAGGGAAAGAATGCAGCAGCTGAAACCTATCTCCTGGATTCCAAATTGAATTAGGAATTAGGAATTGGCTGGCCCACTGCCCCCTCCCCCTGGCTGTAGGCCATCAAGCTTCCAGGCAGTGGTGGAATTTGTGGCTTACTTGAGGTTCAAACCTAGTTCCCCACTCACCAAGCCCCTCGTATGAAGAGGCTGCAGTTAACACCTCTGTTTAGGCAGCATTCCTGCTGACCTGTTACAGTGCCCTGGTTGAAGCTGGTCATACTTTGGGCACAGGCATCCATGGCACAGTGCTTCACAGGGACATAAACCTGCCAAGCTTGTTTTGACAGTCCATTTCATCCTAGGATTTAGGGAGATCAAGGAAAGGGTGGGGTGGGACCCTGGCCAGACCTGGAGAGAAGGGAGACAATTAGAACAAGGGAAGCCAGGCCAGAGGTCCCTCTCCAGCGCCCAGGAGGAATGTTTGGGGGTGAGCCCAGTGGAGATGCTGCAGGAAGGCTGAACAGGACTGGCTCCCTGATTCCAGGCAGGAGATGAGTTCTCTGAATATCAGACATTTACATGCACAAAGCCCTATGGGCAGCCACTGTCAGGGTGACTTGCCATCCCCAATCACTGAGGTCGTTTCAGTGTGTATGGTGGGACCCATGGCCTTGTACATGCTAAGGATGACCTCTATCACTGAACCATGCCTCAGGACCTACAATGGGGTCCTGTCCTGCATGTCATTGATGGGAGCAGCTGGGAATATATGGCTTTGTTGAGTGAAACTGAGTAGCAGATGGTTGGTAACCACGTTGAACCAGGGCTGTTACCATTGTGGGTAAGTGTTAGTTAGGTCCTCTGGGTTTCAGGGAGCTATGTCTAGTGTTTCATGGGTCTCAGGTATAGCCTTGTTTGGGGGTCAGAATAAATACTTGGGCTTTTAAGAGTGTCTAGAGGTGTGATTATGTGGCTCAGGTAGGGCAAGGTCTGGGTGCCCATGGGCTTTGGTTTATGGGAGAACATCTCCAGGAGATGTGCCCAGGACTGTAACAGACTTACAGGGTCAAATAAGATTTACACCTTGTGCTATAAGGTGTGGGCAAGCATCAATTTCAAGGGGTCTGTATTTGTGGGTATTAAGGGAGTGGATGTTAAAAGTCAGCAATGGTGGAAGCAGTCCAGTGTTTACCTGCCATCATGACTGATCTGACAGTGACTGCATGTTCCCCTTCTCAAGACAAAGTGAGACTGTGGCTGTGGGTGCCGGATGCGGTTCAGGTGCCCTATGAATTGCTTGCCCCACCTTAAGGCAGGATGCAGATGCTAGCCTGGCTCCCCTGAGCTGTTCAGCCACCTCCCTGTTACCCTAGACTGGGCTGCTGCTCACCTCCACCCCCACTGTGACATCCACAAAGGCCTAAGGACAGGCAACATTGCTGGCTCCCATCACACAGCCGACTCCCAAACCCTCAAGCCCAATGGGGACAGCACCCCACCCCACCCCACCCCCTTGAGAGTGCATAGACCTCCCAGCCTGCCCCAGGCGATGCTCACATTTTCCAGTGTTTAGATTTTATCCACTTTATTAATGAGGCAGGCAAGAGGCCCGGGTGAGGGTGTGGGGGTTGCTTCTGCCCCACTGAGAGGAGGGGGTCGCAGACCAGACCAATTCAGAGAACCTCAGTCCTTGGCGGGAAGAAGCCGGGCCCAAGTGGCCCTGACCATTGCCAGCAGCAGAGGTTTCGCCCACTCAAGGCTCCCAGCTCCGGCGGGCAGACATGCATGGGGTGGAGCAGCCCCTGGAGGCCAGTGGGGTGCGGGTGGAGGCGGCACAGAGCCGAGGAGCCGCCCCAGGAAGAGGGAGCGGCCTGCCGGGAGCCAGGGAGCAGCTGGCGCGGGCAGCAGGAGCCTAGTTCCGGGCCATGGGGACCCTGCATCCTGAGCAGCACTGGGTAAGAAGCCGGGACTTGAGGGTCGGCAATCAGGGAAAAGGGGAGCATTGAAGAAAGATGGGCTATGGCCATCCTGGTCTCACTGTGCTCATGGTTCTCAGCCCAAGGCTGTCTGTCCATCTGCTTTAGCCCTCAACTAGAGAATGAAGAACACAAGAGTATGGGGTGGGCATCTGAATGAGGCAGTGCCAGATTAGTGAGGGGTTGCCATGGAGACAGGTGTGACTGGACATCAGAATGGGATCCCAGGTAAAGAGGTGGGCCGGAGGAGTCCAAAAGCACGGAAGAGATCAGAGATGGGTCCATGGGGACAGAGAGGACCATGGAGACAGATGGGGCTACAGGGCATAGCAGCTTTGGGGCATAGACATGAGTCTTTATAGAGATGGCTTGTTTGGGGAGAGATGAAACTGGAGATTGAAGAGTAGTCTCTGGAAGCAGGGACATGGCCATTGGAAGAGATGGGCTATAGTGGTGGAAATGTTGGGACATGGACATCAAAGGTGGGATTAAAAGGTGATGGTGGTGATGTGAGCCTTTAGTCTCAGGACACAAGAAGCATAGGCAAGTGGACTTAAGTTTAAGGCCAGTTCCAGAGCCAGCCAAAGAGACTAGGAAAGTGGTGGGTGGAGATGAGGACAGATACAGAGGGCCTTTGCCAGGTCAGTCAAGTCCCCAAAAGAGTGGACAGAGAAGACGATGTGGGGGGCAGAGTGAGGTCAAGCACAAGGGATGGAGCAGTGACAGGTAAAGTGGGATCTGAAATGGAGCAGCCAGGGTCATGTGGAGGTGCCCTGGGCAGAGAGGCCACATTGTTACATGGAGTCTGTTTATGGGTGGTGGGACCCTAGCCTCACTGTGCCCTCTTCTTATCTACCTAGCCCTCTTGGCCACTGATATGAGCCCCTGTGGGCTTAACGAGAGCCTAGTGGACGAGACAACAACGTGTGCAACACCCAGGGTCCCCAACACATCTGCGGTGCTGCCACCAGGCGATTCCGGCACATCACCAGTGCTGCCTATCTTCTCCATGACCCTGGGTGCCGTGTCCAACGTGCTGGCGCTAGCGCTGCTGGCACAAGCTGCAGGCCGTCTGCGTCGGCGCCGCTCAGCTGCCACCTTTCTGTTGTTCGTTGCCAGCCTGCTGGCCATCGACCTGGCAGGCCATGTGATCCCGGGCGCCCTGGTGCTTCGCCTGTATGCTGCAGGGCGTTCGCCTGCTGGCGGGGCCTGTCATTTCCTGGGAGGCTGCATGGTCTTCTTCGGCCTGTGTCCACTTTTGCTTGGCTGCGGCATGGCTGTGGAGCGCTGCGTGGGTGTCACGCAACCGCTGCTCCACGCAGCACGTGTATCGGTGGCCCACGCACGCCTGGCACTAGCGGCACTGGCCACCCTGGCTTTGGCAGTGGC